GGACATGGTCAGAAACAATGCTCAGGTAGGCCGTGGCATTTAAACGATGCCCAATTGGCACTAAGGGGCCTAAAGTGTGCCAAGAAAACATCCCCCACACCATTACACCACCACCACCAGCCTGCACAGTGGTAACAAGGCATGATGGATCCATGTTCTCATTCTGTTTACGCCAAATTCTGACTCTACCATCTGAATGTCTCAACAGAATTCGAGACTCATCAGACCAGGCAACATTTTTCCAGTCTGTCCAATTTTGGTGAGCTCTTGCAAATTGTACCCTCTTTTTCCTATTTGTAGTGGAGATGAGTGGTACCCAGTGGGGTCTTCTGCTGTTGTAGCCCATCTGCCTCAAGGTTGTGCGTGTTGTGGCTTCACAAATGCTTTGCTGCATACCTCGGTTGTAACGAGTGATTATTTCAGTCAAAGTTGCTCTTCTATCAGCTTGAATCAGTCGGCCCATTCTCCTCTGACCTCTAGCATCAACAAGGCATTTTCGCCCACAGGACTGCCGCATACTGGAAGTTTTTCCCTTTTCACACCATTCTTTGTAGACCCTAGAAATGGTTGTGCGTGAAAATCCCAGTCACTGAGCAGATTGTGAAATACTCAGACCGGCCCGTCTGGCACCAACAACCAATTCACGCTCAAAATTGCTTAAATCACCTTTCTTTCCCATTCTGACATTCAGTTTGGAGTTCAGGAGATTGTCTTGACCAGGACCACACCCCTAAATGCATTGAAGCAACTGCCATGCGATTGGTTGATTAGATAATTGCATTAATGAGAAATTGAACAGGTGTTCCCAATAATCCTTTAGGTGAGTGTATATAGGCTATATATATATATATATATATATATTATATATTATTATATATATATATTATTTACAATTATTAACAAATACGCTGTTTGCATAACTTTGCAGTTCTTTTGTTATAGCTGATTTTACTCGAGTGAAAAAGAATAGCTCCAACAACCTGTGCATCATTAAAATGACTGCGTTTTCTAGACAGAAACCCACAGTTAAGCAATCATTACTCGGGGTGTGAATTTGTAAGACAGCTGTGAAAATGAAGACGAAAGACTATTGAGGAAAAGTTCCAGATAAACAAAGGCATATATGAGAAAAGAAAACAAAATCTCCCTCAATCTCCATGTGGATTAGATGCCCCAGAGAGCACTTTTTGTTCAGTTATCAGAAAGTCAGCTACTGCTGCTGTGAAAAGACTGTCCCTCAAAACCCTGCATGCAGAAGGAGACTTATGAAAGAAGCCACAAAGAGCCAAATAATCACTTTGAAGCAGCTACAGAGTTCAGGAGCTGAGAACAGAATAAAGGTGCACTAGTCAACCATATAAAGAGCTCTGTAGAGCACTGGCCTATATCTGGGATGTTGGCACAGATGGATGAATGGTTTGTTCAAAATACTGCAACTAAAGTTGTTCAAGTTTGCTATAAAATCCTTCATCTTTAAGCACAGTGATCTCCGATATTAGGGTTATTAATAATTAAATTAATAAATACGAATTAATATTACGGATCTATTTTGAAAGCATTGAAATCTGAATAACAACCTGGAGCAAGATGTGCAACTTGTATATATTTGCCGCAAAAGATGAAAAGAGTGCTGAAAATTAGAATGCTGATAATGAATGCTTATTGTCTTTGCAAATATTGGTCCTTATGACCTAACAGCTTAGTTTTGGATGAAAGCCCTGCATAAATTAATATATGTAAATGCAGAAATATTCTTAATAACAACAGTGACAAAACGTTATAAAATCTATCTAAAATGCTGTGCTTTTTACATCTTTGAGTGCTTTTAAATATTAAAAATCTCATATCCTGTACAGCAGCCCATATTTAGTATTTATTTATGAATGCATAAATAATGTGTGTAACAATTAAGTTTAATCGAATTGCATTTTATAACAAATATAAACATATAAAAGTGTCAATTCACTTTTAAAGTATAAGCACATTTTTCAAGCAAATCATTTAAAATCATTTTTTTAAAACACAGCTTTTCAAAAGTTTGGGGTTGGTAATTTTTTTTTAATATATTTTGAAAGCCCAACAGTAATATTGTGAAATAGTATTACAATATAAAAAAGTTTTCTATATGAATATATTATATTAATAATATATAATTTTTTATTCCCATTCCAGCCTTTAGTGTCACATTTTTGTGACACACAATAGTGTCACACACAATAGTGCCACATGATCCTTAGAAATCATTGAAATTTGGTGCTTAAGAAACATGCTTTATTATTATCAATGTTGTTGTGGCTTTCTCTTGCCAACAAACATCATCACTGAGTAAGAGACACTCTGAGTCCAATTTAATAGTTTATAAAGTATTTATTCTTTTGCAAGAGAGATCTTCGTCACCAATACACATTTGTGAGTCAGTGAGGAGAGATAAAGAGAAGCAGTGTCTGTCTTTTTTATATCTTGTGTCCTCCAAGGCCTTATTTCTGCCCTCCCCTCACAGGAGAGATATACTTTGTTTTTTTCTATTTCTCCCTGGGCCTGAGAGGTAAATGCCCCCTTAACCCTTTAGGCTATAACGTACAAATGCACTCAAGATAACCCCTTGACCACCTGCTTTTCCTTACCTCCACTGACTCCCAACCACAGTAAATAATATCACCCAAAGGTGGGCAGAGTTCACTGTACCAGGGACTGCTGAGTATTCCATAACACAGTTTATATATTTATATACATACTATTATATAAATATATATATATATCATGGAATCCTGAAAAAGTATATATATATATATACACTCACCGGCCACTTTATTAGGTACCCCATGCTAGTAACGGGTAGGACCCCCTTTTGCCTTCAGAACTGCCTCAATTCTTCGTGGCATAGATTCAACAAGGTGCTGGAAGCATTCCTCAGGGAGTTTGGTCCATATTGACATGATGGCATCACACAGTTGCCGCAGATTTGTCGGCTGCACATCCATGATGCGAATCTCCCGTTCCACCACATCCCAAAGATGCTCTATTGGGTTGAGATCTGGTGACTGTGGAGGCCATTTTAGTACAGTGAACTCATTGTCATGTTCAAGAAACCAATTTGAAATGATTAGAGCTTTGTGACATGGTGGAAGTAGCCATCAGAGGATGGGTACATGGTGGCCATAAAGGGATGGACATGGTCAGAAACAATGCTCAGGTAGGCCGTGGCATTTAAACGATGCCCAATTGGCACTAAGGGGCCTAAAGTGTGCCAGGAAAACATCCCCCACACCATTACACCACCACCACCAGCCTGCACAGTGGTAACAAGGCATGATGGTTCCATGTTCTCATTCTGTTTACGCCAAATTCTGACTCTAACATCTGAATGTCTCAACAGAAATCGAGACTCATCAGACCAGGCAACATTTTTCCAGTCTTCAACTGTTCAATTTTGGTGAGCTCTTGCAAATTGTAGCCTCTTTTTCCTATTTGTAGTGGAGATGAGTGGTACCCGGTGGAGTCTTCTGCTGTTGTAGCCCATCCGCCTCAAGGTTGTGCGTGTTGTGGCTTCACAAATGCTTTGCTGCATACCTCGGTTGTAACGAGTGGTTATTTCAGTCACTGTTGCCGTTCTATCAGCTCGAACCAGTCTGGCCATTCTCCTCTGACCTCTGGCATCAACAAGGCATTTCCGCCCACAGAACTGCCGCTCACTGGATGTTTTTTCTTTTTCGGACCATTCTCTGTAAACCCTAGAGATGGTTGTGCGTGAAAATCCCAGTAGATTAGCAGTTTCTGAAATACTCAGACCAGCCCTTCTGGCACCAACAATCATGCCACGTTCAAAGTCACTCAAATCAACTTTCTTCCCCATACTGATGCTCGGTTTGAACTGCAGGAGATTGTCTTGACCATGTCTACATGCCTAAATGCACTGAGTTGCCGCCATGTGATTGGCTGCTTAGAAATTAAGTGTTAACGAGCAGTTGGACAGGTGTACCTAATAAAGTGGCCGGTGAGTGTATATATATATATATATATATATTAATTATATATAATTTTCATATAATTTTTATAAATATATATATATTTATTATATTTTTATATATACTGTATATATTTTGGTGGAATTCTTCATGATTTTTTGATTAATAGTATGTTCTGAAGAAAAGTATATTTGAAATAGAATTTAACAATTACATTTTTTTAACAATGTAAAAGTCTTTACTGTCACTTTCGATCAATTTAATACACCCTTGCTGAATAAATGCATTCATTTATTAATTAAAATCACTGCCCCCAAACTTTTGAACGGAAGTACATACTGTTAAAAAGTAAGACCAAACGTATTTGAGCACTTTCTGCTTGCCAAATGTTACATAGTTAATGGGATTTTAAGTGTGAATTAAGTGTCAAGGTAATTTTTCAGACCACTGTAGAAAAAAATTTAAGTCAAAAAACGAATTGTACTTTACCAAAGGACTGCAGAGTATAAGCACAAATGCATGCCAATTCTAACTCTTATTCTCTTAGTCATTCAATTCATGAACTTTCACTCGACAAGTGAGAGTAAAAGAAGCCTGATAATCAAAAATAAACTTTCTGTATGTTAAGCTTTACCTCCTCCTACTACTTATTCAATCATGCCGTTCTTTAGTAATTATGCCGACCAGAACTTTAGCTGGTGTGGGTGTTTCTAATAAGAGGAGCGAAGTGCCAGGTTTTTCACAGGTTTGGAGGCCCCGCTGAGTACTCTTTGAGTGTTATTATAACTGGTATTATTACTTTTGATTACTTTGTCAAGAGACACTGCGTGTAAGCAGTTCTAGTGAAGCAGGCTGTGAAGGTTAAGATTTTCTTCCTCCACTTCAGGATTAAGCCAGCATTGAATACACATCTGAGAGAAATATAGGCATAATGAGTTGCATTTTATAAGGTGGACAATATTGCAGCATTGATAATGTTATGCATTGATTGTCGATGGAAAGTCATTAAAGCATCATCTGATTTTTCTCTGACAGCTTCACGTGTGGAAACAGAGCATCGCGGGAGCTCAGCCACTCGGAGAGAGCGGAGGACGTCTGGGGAACCCTATTGGGCGTATTCAGGTGAGTCATTCTCTCCTTCGACCAATAAACAATGATAATGTGTGCACAGCATCGGTAAGCAATAGCAACAATGTTTACTCAGCATAAGCCTGTGTGTCCGTGGGGAATCAACCCTATTGGGAAATTTAATGAGTATATTTCCCCTTTGAAAAGCGGCAGGTGGGTTTGGTCTATTAGTTTTACATGTTTTACAGCAGAAAAAGACCACTTCGAGCCACTGGGCGAATCAATTGGAAATGCTTTGTCTCAGAGAGGACATTTTTACATAATCTATATCTCCTCTAACTCAGCAGAATCTGCGAGCAATTGCTGGATTGTTCTTATTCCGTAGCTACTTGAAGGGCTCTTATTGAGAGTTATGAAAATGACTCAATCAATGGCCTCTGGCGGACATACGGTCAATAGTCGTGAACATCAACTGCTCTAATCTCATTTCGAACTCTTTCTTTTTTCTCTGCTCGTATTTCCAGCTGATCTTTTATCTTTTTATTTCTGATTTCTCTCGTTCCTCTGGGCGTCTGAACGGTTCGCTTCATCAGCTCTGACAGACCAGTGCCGGCTTGTTCTTTGCCAGCATTCTGACTTGTGTCTGTGCTCAGAGAGATGAGGAACATTTATGCCTGTAGTTTCAGCTGCCCTCTAGCATGGAATGATCTTTAAATGGTGCTCTTTTCTTTCTTTGGCGCTTGCTGGCAGCCATATATGTGTATTTACCATGTGAAGTCATGCGATAAGCCCTGCAAGGCTTTCTTCCTCAGTGTGCCTTCTCTAATAGACGATGCAGCGTTTTCCAAATGTCGTTTCCATGATCTAATGATCTGTTTCAGAGGATACGGTTTTCTGAGATACAGATTGTTTTGTGGTTTGCTTTTCATATCTCTCTGTAGGAACTCACCCCACCAAATGATATCTCTTTAATATCTCCCTATCTATCTATCTATCTATCTATCTATCTATCTATCTATCTATCTATCTATCTATCTATCTATCTATCTATCTATCTATCTATCTATCTATCTATCTATCTATCTATCTATCTATCTATCTATCTATCTATCTATCTATCTATCTATCTATCTATCTATCTATCTATCTATCTATCTATCTATCTATCTATCAATTCTACATTCTTACATTCAAATTATTGGATATTAATTGACTGGAATGGCTGGTATAACCTTGCAAGATACAAAAATCTGTTAATGTTTTTTAAAAGTCAGAGATCTCAACACGAACTCAAATCTGTTCTGCTATTCACATAATTAGTATGTCAACACTTCTTTAATTTGTTTCAGTTTTTAGACCTCCCAATAGAGAAACATTGAGACTAAATCGGTACTCAAACCCAACATAAGTCCCGAGATATGAGAGCGCAACCTATAAGCTATACAGTTTCCCTCTAGGTTTGGTTTACGACGAGTGAAGCAGACTTTAAAGTGTTAGACTTTCTGTAGACCTTGCACAAGTTTCCATGAGTGTTTTGAACAGATGTTGTTGTTTCTCAGGTATAGCTGTGGTTCCATGGCAGTTTCACTGAAAGCATTAATGAGGCTTTATGATTCAATTCACAGGCAATATCTGTCTGCGGCACTTGTTTGTGCATTTTTGCTTGTCTTTCGCACATTTTTCCCTCGTACAAAGGTTTTATCTTCTCACCAGACACTTTAACTGTCATTTTTTCTTTCTTTTTGAATCAATTTCATTGTTTTGCAGCTTGTCCGTGTCAGAGCACTGTGTTGTGCATTCACTGTCAAGTAAAACCCATGCCAGTGTCACTAGGTGGGTTGACACCACAATAGCTGATGTGGTTTTGTGGATTTAGGAACTGATCTGGGGCTCAAAGCTTTTTCTCTTTTCGAAAAGGTTGCATCCAATTTTTCATAAAGGAGTTTTATGAGGCATATAAAAAAAATCATATTACAGATGTTACTGAAGAAAATATTTCATTTTATGGATCTCTGTCTTCAGCAACCAGTGTTGTTTTTTTTAACTTGATGAGGAGCTATTAAACAGCACTAACAAAATTGTATGGTACTGCCGTGAATGGTACTTTGGTAATACCATGCTTTTTGGACATTATTTGAAACACTCTGGAGTATTATGTAAATGCCATGCCTCATGAAAATGGTGTCATTCAATATTATGATATACAGTATATTAAAATACAGTACAATTGTATTTCCATCTGAAATCACTTTCCATGGTATCCTCTTATTATAATTTTTTTGTAAGTAGTTGACCACAAAATGTATTTTGTTATTTACACCATTATATTTTACTACTAAAATATAAAATGTGATTACTTCATTAACATACAGTGTCATTAAAAAGCCTTAGTCCCTATTGAAAATGTGGGGTTAAAAAAAAGAAGAGGGTTTTTAGGATTTTGTAAATTGTAATGCTATGGGATTATAATTTTTTTTTAATTAAATAAATAATATAATATAATATATTAAAGCAAAAAGAGACAAAAATACAGAGACATTCTCGTGTACATATTCATGATTTTCACTCAAATATTGATGCTGATAATATAATTTGAAATGAACTATTCATTTTGAAAAGAAACCAAAACATTGCAGACTCTCTGACTTCTAGACGTGAATCTGTGCCTTGTAATGTTTACTGAGAACCTGTTATCCCCTTTTAAGTCTTGTTTCTGTGTTTGGAGTCTACTAGAATAGGTTTTCATGCTTGAATGTTAAAAAAAAAACATTATTTGTTCACATATTTTACTTTGTTGCAGCACTTCTCTTCCCAGTCTGGCAGGTACACACTGTTTAGTTCCTGTCTCTATGAAGCCCCTCCTTCGATAAGCGCAATGTGCTCCGATTGGTCGGCTGGCAGTGTGTTGTGATTGGTCAAACTTTTTGAGCATGTTTCAGAAATTGCATGCGCCTTATCACAACCGCGAGTTTCAACACACTACTAACCCTTTTTTTTGTGCGTGTGTGTTTGCAATTTTTATTTTATTTTGCTGGAATTCTTTAATGAGGAATATTGTGACATGTTCGTTCCCAAACTCAAGTCTACTATAAAGGCGTTTCAGGGAGTTCAGAAACTGATATAGAGAACAGCTCCCTTTGGAGTGACTTTGTGCTTTTTAACTTTGCACACCTTTTTCTTGCTCAAACAGCAATATTACACGCTAAAAAAGTTGAAAATGTAAAAAGCATAATAAGTCTTCTTTAACAGTTCCTCAATTGGAGCTGTTAACTTATAAGTCATCTTTAGGACAATCCCACCAATAACAGCAAGCACTAAAAGCTCTGTACATGAAAGCAGTTCAGTAGCTTTTCTTAGCTACGGCTTTAATGTTCTTTTAAAATTTGTGAAGCATCGTAAGTGATTTTAGTCTTCGTGTTTGTGCTTCTTTTGAGCCGAGCCAGAATGCACTCGAACCTTTCATGCTCTCACAATAATTTCTATGCCAGAAGTATTCTGCAGGCTTTACCTCTTTACCTTTTCCCTCTTTTAAACCCATTTTCATAGCAAAAGCAAATCAAAGCTTGGCAGCTGCTGGAACAATTACAGATTGGCCAAAAAGCATATCTAAAATCTATTTGAGGATTGACACATTTGCTTTTATGTGAAATAAGTTAATTCAATAAGTATGAAAAATAAGTGTTACAAATGTGTAGGGGACATTTATGCATGTTATGGATTGCTTTCTGCTTAGCAAAAGGATGGTCAGCCTAATTTTATTCTCTAGTTCACATTTTCTAGCTTGACATTATTCAGTTTGGAAACAGGATAAGTCGGTCTTTGTTGGTAATTTCCCCAATTTAGGCATGTGATGTGCAAATCAACATTGTTTATGTGCATGCCAATGACCTATAAAGGATCCCGCTAACTTTATTGGAGGGTGGATAAAATAACAGAACTCCCCCTAACAATATATTGATCTCAAGAACCTAATAAAGAGCAGGTCTAACTTTTGCCTTCAGAACAGCTTCCAACAATCTTGAGTGAAATATTGCACAATCCTTTAAAGTAGAAAAGCCTCCAGTTCTGTGAGGGATGAAGAAAGTAGGAGTTTATTTCTCGCTTTGAGCTCCAGAACTGCATTCCAGGGGGTGATTCTCTATATAAAGCTCTACAGTATATGACATGATGAGACGGGGATTGGGTTCACATGTACACCAATAATGCGCGTTAAATAAAATCGAGCAAAACTCTTCATTCCCGTTTACATGAAATTTTCATGATTCTGATTATTCGCTATTTAAGAGTGGTTATTTTTACTGCCATTCTTCACAAACCCCAATGCACAGCACAAATGATGAACTCGCATACAGTAGGTGTTAATGGCCACTGTTTTGATCCACTTACGTCAAATGCAAAACACATTTCTATGGACGTATTAGATATTCGGAACCGTAATGAACATTGCAGAATGGCTATATATAATGTTTAAAAAAATAATTTTCATCCAGACATTAATAGCTGTATTAGTATCAGTGATACTGACCTTCATTCATATAAAGAAAATGTAAACTAAATATAAACCTATAAAAACTTAAGTGTTTTTAATTGTGATTTATCGCGATTAATCACAGAAAAAATGTGTGATTAATCGAGTTACATTTTTTAATCGATTGACAGCACTAATTATATAATGTGACACGCTACTTATACTTATTCAACCATTTAGGTTTAACTGCAATCAGTTCAGACAGAGAGAAAAATATATATTTTCCACTTTTTCTCGTAGCTCAGGAGTCTAGGATTTACTCCTACAGGTTATGTGTCTTTATGTTGGCCTTGGATAAAGATAGTATCCATATAGCAGTGCTGTAATAAATTTCAGCTTTGTGAAACTTTTAATATAAAGTTTTTGTTGAGTTTTTTCATTAAGGTGCAGAAAATGTCTCTGAGACTGTACTTTTTTTTTTAGCTTTCCTTTTGGCCTTTTGCCACTGAGATAATATAGAAAGGGTAGGAAGTGATGGGGAGGAAGATATTAGTTGTCTGCTTTTTCTCTGATGTTTCTCCTGAAA